CATGAAGCGAGAATGCCGAAAGCTCAAGAACAAGGAGAAAAGGTGTGACAAAAGTGTGGATAAGAGCAAGAAGACACAACGGCAGTTACTACCGATGATGTCATGGTCGTTTGTGAAGATGATTGTATCAATTTTGTGGGCCAAGAGAGCATTTGGGTGATTGATTCTGGTGCTTCTTTTCATGTGACTTCTCGAGTTGATTTCTTCACTACCTACACCAAAGGAGATTATGGTTCTGTTCGAATGGGTAATGAAGGTTTGTCCAAGATTATCGGCATGGGTGATGTTTGCTTGGAAACAAATTTGGGCTGTAAGTTGTTACTTAAAGATGTGAGGCATGTTCCTGACATTCGCCTTAATTTGATCTCTACTGGAAAGCTAGATGATGAAGGCTTCAACAACAAATTTGATGATGGAATATGGAAGTTTACAAAGGGTTCTTTGGTGGTGGCTAAGTGCAAGAAGACTCATACACTTTATTTAATGCAAGGAAAAATTTGTAAAGGTATTGTCAATGCACTTGAAGATGATACTTCTACTGAATTGTGGAACAAACGACTTGGGCACATGAGTGAAAAGGGGCTGCAAGTATTGTTCAAGAAAGAGCTTCTACCCGGTTTGAAAGGTGCACATCTTAAAACGTATATTCATTGTTTGGCGGGTAAACAACATACAGTTTCTTTTCATAAAAATGTTGTTTCTAGGAAAGAAAATGTTTTGGAGTTGATTCATTTGGATGTTTGTGGTCCTTCGGAAGTTAGAACACATAGTGGTGCACTTTATTTTGTTACTTTCATTGATAATTATTCAAGGAAAGTTTGGGTTTTTCTACTAAAAACTAAACATCAAGTTTTAAAAGTATTTAAGCATTTTCAAGCCATGGTTGAAAGAGAAACAGGGCAGAAATTGAAGTGTATCCGATCAGACAATGGTGGTGAATGCATTGGGCCATTTGATTAGTATTGTCGCAGCCAAGGTATTCAGCACCAAAAGACAATTAAGAAGACTCCTTAACAAAATGGCGTTGCCGAAAGGATGAACCGCACCATTGTGGAAAGAACAAGGTGTTTGCTTTCACAAGCTAAATTGCCAAGATCCTTTTGGGGTGAGGCAATGAGGACAACGGTTGACGTGATCAATTTGTCTCTTTCCTATCCTTTGAATGGTGATATTCCAGAAAGAGTTCGGACCGGTAAAGATATGTCTTATGAGCACTTGAGAGTGTTTGGTTGCCGAGCTTTTGTTCACATTTCAAAAGATAAGAGGTCCAAGCTTGATAGTAAGTCAAGACAATGTATTTTCCTTGGCTATGGGCGTGATGAATTCGAGTATAGATTGTGGGATCCAGTTGCCAAGAAAGTCATTCGAAGCCGTGATGTTGTGTTTTTTGAAGACCAAACAATTGAAGACTTTGGCAAAGGTGATCAACCAGAGACAAAAACTAGTGATCTCATTGACATGGATCTATCTCCTTCATCTTCAGTTGATGATGAAAACGGGGGAGATGTGCAGCCACCTATTAAAGATGTAGAGGATGATATTAATCCTAATGAAATTGAGCTAGAAATTGAGGAAGAGCATCCAACTCAAGAACCGCCACCACAACTTGAGTTGAGGAAATCTACAAAGGACCGACAACCTTCGATAAAGTATCCTCCTAATGAGTTTGTGTTGATTTCTGATCAAGGGGAGCTGAAGAGCTACCAAGAAGCAATTGAGCATGCAAAGAAATGTGATTGGAAAAAGGCCATGGAAAAGGAGATGAATTTTTTACTTGAAAATCACACATATGATTTAGTGAAGTTGCCTAAAGGGAGAAAAATTCTAAAAAATAAGTGGGTTTTCAAATTGAAAAATGACAGTAAGAATCTGAGGTACAAGGCGGGTCATTTTGTGAAAGGCTTTGGGCAAAAGAAAGGCATTGACTTTGATGAAATCTTCTCGCCGGTTGTGAAGTTGTCTTCTATTCAGGTTGTACTTGGCATGGCTGCAAGTATGAACCTTGAAGTTGAACAACTTGATGTGAAAACCGCATTTCTTCATGGTGATCTTGAAGAAGAAATTTACTGGAGCAACCGACAGGTTTGGTGGAAAAGGGAAAGAGAAATTTGTTTGTAATTGAAGAAAAGTTTGTATGGTCTCAAGCAAGCTCCATGACAATGGAACAAAAAATTTGACTCTTTTATGATAAATAATGATTTTTCTAAAACCACTTCAGGCCATTGTGTGTTTGTGAAATATTTTCCGAATGGTAAATTTATTATTCTTTTTCATTATGTTGATGACATGTTAATTGTGGATCAAGATTCTACCATGATAAACAGGTTGAAATTGGAGTTGAGCAAGTCTTTTGCTATGAAAGATTTAGGGCCAGCAAAACAAATACTTGGTATGAAAATTGTTCATGATCGCAAAGAGGGGCTGATTTGGTTGTCTCAAGAAAGCTACATTGAGAAAGTTCTTGAGAGATTCAACATGAATAAAACAAAGCCAGTTGGTTGTCCACTTGCGGGTCACTTCAAACTTAGTTCGGATCAATGTCCTACAAGTGAGAAAGACAAAGAAGAGATGTTGAAAATTCCTTATTCTTCAGCAGTTGGTTCTTTGATGTACGTCATGGTTTGTACAAGGCCGAATATTGCTCACGCCGTTGGTGTGGTGAGTCGGTTTCTCTTTAATCGAGGTAAAGAACATTGGGCAGTGGTAAAATGGATTCTAAAGTATCTTCGAGGGACTTTGAAGGTATGTTTGTGTTTTGGGGATGGTAAGCCGATACTTGATGGGTTCACAGATTCTGACATGGCTGGTGATGTTGATTCTAGGAAATCTACTTCAAGGTATTTGATGACTTTTGCAGAGGGAGCTGTGGCATGGCAATCTAAATTGCAAAAATGTGTTGCTCTTTCAACTACCGAAGCTGAATTTGTTGCCATTACGGAAGTTTGTAAAGAAGAGTTATGGTTGAAGAAATTTTTACAAGAGTTGGGTTTGAAGCAAGAAAAGTATGTGCTTTATTGTGATAGTCAAAGTGCTATTCACTTGAGTAAAACTTCTACTTTTCATTCGAGATCGAAACACATTGACGTGAGATACCACTGGATTCGTGATGTGTTAGATTCGAAGTTCTTGCAACTTGAAAAGGTTCACACAGATGATAATATTTCGGATATATTGAATAAGACTTTGTCGAGGGACAAACATTTAAAGTGTCGAACTTTGGCGGGTATAGTTGATCTCTCCACCTAAGTCGATAGGGGGAGAATTGTTGGGATATATCTCTTTATTGGAGTTTGAGACCCAATTGGTTTGTTAAAAAGAGTTTAATTTGGTTTGGTATTAGTTATAATATATTTTTATATATTATATCTAATTTGTGAAGACCCAATTCAGTTTGATAACAACTAGGGTTTGATAAAACAAACTCAAGATTTAACAATATATATATTGTTTTGTGTGTTTTGGTGTGTGTTGCATATGGCAGTGGCTTGAATACATAAATTGTTTTCACCAAAAGCAAAGCAACGGCAGCTACATGTTTTGGCTCATTCTTGGTAACAGTGCGGGTTGATTTGCTTAGTTCATTGGTGCTTTGGAACTTTTCAGTGCATCTTCGGCTAGGTGTTTTGGTGAAGTTGATTTGGGTTATTATTTTAGGTCTTCTTTAACTTTATTTCAAAGATTTTTGTTCATTTATTTGGTGAGGTCTTTCCTCTTATTTATTTGTGATTATTTAGAATTCACCTAACGGTGGTTTGTGAGACCAATTATGTCTCGTTTATAATCGTTTGGAAACTATTTAGTTGATAGTAGAATCAGATTTCGATCCCGTGGACGTACCTCACATTGAGGGAGCCACGTAAATTCTTGTATTGCTTTTGATTTAATTTTTTCACATTAATTTTTATTTTCATTGATTGATTTACTTATGGAAAATTATATATTTTCCTTAACAGGAAAGGGGGTTGTGGGGTTGTGGCCCTTTCAAGAATTGTAGGAACTCTATGTGTATGTGATATAGTGATATGCAGTAGTTTGTTAATGTTTGACCCCTGCAAAAATTCTTTGACCCCTACAATACACATCTATCCCCCCGAAGATAGAAGTGAGTCCAAATATTACTAAATCTTATAAAAAAGTGTGGCAAAGAAGCAATATTTAGGAGCAATTTTTAATGGATTTTGTTAATCTATCAGTCAGATTGTGTTTTATTGATAGAGATTTTAAAAGGAAAAGAAAAAAAGTTGTTTAAAATGTAGGTGTTAGAGAAGAGATATATATTCTCAATAAAATGGGTATAATGAAAAATATATAATTTTTTAAACTTTTCTATGAGTTAACCAGAGGCATTTAATTAGATCGATAGAAAATTAACTCTAAATTTGGACCTTTTGAATTTTATTTTCAAAATTTACCCACTTGGAAAGTATATATTTAAGTTTGCACAATAAATTTTTATTAGGACCATTGTCAAAAGTTTGTTGACAAGTTGAATTTGTTTTGACACAATGAAATAATCAAACTATTTTAACCACTGTGTTGTTTGAAATTTGTAATGCCTCATTTGGTCAATATCTTAATAAATTTATACAATATTAATTTATATACACACAAATTATAAAATAAGCAATGTATTTTAAGTAGTTTTTAATTATTTTTATTTGAGTAATTCAAAATTTTATTAGAATCAATGTAATTAGACTTTTCGTATAACAAGATGTATCCTATTCATTTCCATTTGCCCCCTCCCCCCTCCCTCCCTCCTCTGCTTTCACAATCCTAGCTCTGTCCTTGGTTTGAAGAGAGTATGATGTACACCGCTTTACCTTATTACTAGGTAACTTTATACAATTATACTGATTTAATTTTGTGTAACAACTTGGATAATTTCACTTCACGCACGAATTAATACAAAATCAAGTTACGGTTTGGCATGCAAATGGATGCACTTATAATTTTGGCACGAGTTATCTATCTTGCTCATTGTACCATCTTCTATTTCGTACTTTTCTAAATATTGGTGTGATAATGTAAGATAAATATAAAATGAAAGATGAGACAAAAAGCGATATAAATGTTGGTTGAGGTTTATTATATGCCTATTACATAATCAATGGTGGAACGAAGGGAATTGAAGATGATGGAGTAAGTCTTCTCAGTTGGATGAATTGAATCCCAAAACACATACTTAGTGGCATCAGGGCATACAATTGATTTGGGATTGCACAAAAATGATGTTTCCATGAACCCTGTCCCACAACAACCTGTGTTCACCTCCTCAAAACCTACCACAAATAAAATAAAAGTAAAAAATAAAAAAGAGTACAGCTAGTTAGACATTTATGATAACCCCTGAGTTGTTGAGAAATTATTGATTCATGACCCATATATAGTACTCAATAATTTTGGAAAACTATAGACATTCATAATTCTGGGTAATATTTGATTATGTATTGTTTAGGGATTTAGGAGTATTCATTCAGAATATACAAATTTCTAAATTTCTTAACATAAGCACAAACAAATAAAATATATATATATATATGTTTGGTTTGGAGTTTTCAACAATCCTTTTATGAGTTTTTATTTAACATTTTAATTAATTTCCTTTTTCTTCTTTTTACAAACAGTTAACAAATATAAAATTTGTATAAAAATCTTTAAAACAATCATTGAATACAATAAAATATTAAAATATAAATTTTTTTTAGTAATGTTAGGTATCATGAAAGAAATATCATGAAAATCTTTCATAAAAATTCTCTACCCTTGAATTTGTTTGTAATGTTTTATGGGCAAATTACAAACACCCCCCTCGAGATTTGGTGAAAATACAGATTCCCCCTTGAGGTTTGAGAAATTACATCCTACCCCCTGAGGTTTATATTTTCATAACAAATTACCCCCTGAGATTTTTATTTTCATACAGATTCCCCCCTAATTTTTCCTAATTTGTTATGAAAATTTGACCCTCAGGGGGCAATTTGTAATTTCTCAAACCTCAGGAGGCGATTTGTTTACTAAACCTCGAGGGGTGTGTTTGTAATTTGCCCATGTTTTATTGTATGTTATGCAATCACTTTTAAATTAGTTTCATGAAGCTTTTCATAATACTTGTTTCATGATGTGTAGCATTACTCCTTGTTTTTTATTTTTATTATTCTGTGAATTTTTGAAAGATTTTTGCACAAATTCATACTTTTTAAGTGTATCTAGATTAAAATAAATCTAAAAATTTGATTAACTAATTAAAAAGTTTGCTGAAAACAAAAAATATGGATTGAATTTTAAAAACTATTTTTGAAAAATCTAAAGCAGACAGATATACCAACAAATAAATCAACTAAGCCTTTGTTTAACAACTTCGGCTTACAAGTTAGCTTACGGGTTAAAAACAATTTAACTCATTTAGCAAACTCATTTTTCGTTAAAAAGTTACTTTTAATCAGTCTAAAAAATTATTAGCGAAATCCAAAATGTGAAGAATTTACCAAAACAATTCCTTTTTAACATTAGAACTTTTTGTAGATTGGTAAATTAAAAAGTAATAAGAATAATAACTAAATAAATAAATAAGACTTATGAGCAAACATTCACAGGAAATTTAGACACAAGACTTGCATGTGAGTCATGCCACTTAATGGGAGCCCATTTAATAATATGATCCACTCACCATATTTGCGCCCTTGGATCATGTCGATCAACGGTGTATATATGTCGCCGTAAACGATAAGGGGCCCACCAACAGTCATGACTTTGAGTATTTCATTTTGGAGCATCCGATTGTAATCTCTAGCGATGGAGGATAATGATTCGATACAACCACGTCTATGAAACAAGTCATTTGAATAAAGTGTGATTACGGCAGGCAAGCAACCCATTGGAGGTAGGCCAACGATCGCGATTTTCCGAGCCCCTTGGTCCCCTAAATCCTATATAAATAAAAAAATAATTAGATTTGCAAAATCTTTTTCTATTTTTTTAAATTAAAAATTAGTTCTGTAAAAGAAATGAAAAAATAAAATACATTTATAATTTTCGAAAACAAAATTTTCAATCTCTGAAAAAATAAAATTTCAATAATTATTTTTTGAGAAAATTACAAACACAAAAAAAAAAAAAAAAAGAAAGAAAAGGAATTTGACCCTTTTCAATTTAAATCATACAGTAATATTTTTTATTTGTTTTCATAAAAATGTATTTATAAGATGTGTTTGAATCTTAAATTTGAATAGAATTTTTAAATGAAAAACAAAAATAAAAAAATATGTAAAATATAATTTGAATTATAAATTCAAATATAAATTTGTGAAGAGAAAATAAAAATAAAAATAAAGAATGAAAAAACAATGTTTTAACCGAAATATAGTCTTGCGTAATTCATTCATTATGTTTTTATGACCGTAATTTTTTTTTCCTGATCTCCATTTCAAATTGCTCTTTAGACTTTCTATCAATATGAGGTGATAGTAACATTATAAGACTCGTGATTTTGGAAATCTTCTGTGGGTAAGGAGGCCCCCTAAAATCGTTTTCATAAAATGGGTGATGGTCCACTTACAGCTTTCGCGTCTAAGTTTTAAGTTCCAACTGTAAGGGAGGTTTGATGTGAATAGTGATTAGAGAGGCAAAATTATGCTAATGGTCTAACAATGGTAGAATGACTGGAGGATAAGTAGTTAGGTGAGGGTAAAGCAATTAGCTTAAGAAGAAATAAATGGCAGTGCACAAATGGACAGCATTTCTCCCAAATCCCCAATAATTCTCCTCTGGACCTTGAAAAGTTAGGTCCTATTTATAGGCTTTTCCTTGGTACCAAGAGGACACCAAGTGGCCAAATAGAGAGAAGACAGGTGTCCCTAAGAATCACATTAAATATTCTGTCTTGAGCCACCAAGCTGAAGGTGTCACGTGTCCTTTTGCATGTACTGTGTACTATCTGTTTGCCTCCACAAGTACCTTTTTTAGCCTCAACAAGTGTAGTTGCGGCGGGAGTATTTAGCGCTGCAACTACCTTTTGATCCTTAGCATCTTGCCGTTGCGGCAAGAGTATTTTGCCACTGCACTTCTATTCTCAGTTCGAACCTCAGCAAGTGCACTTGCAGTGGTAAACCTTACTGCTGCACTTGCCTTCTCAGTTCTATTTAGCTAGTACATACATCATTAGGATTTCATTAGCCTACTATCGGCTATGTTTGTGTTCACCTCAGCGAAGCCTCCACCCTTAGCCACCTAACCACAAACTCCCAGCTTCTCAAGGCGAAAGCCACAGCCAAGCCTACTATCAGCCATGTTGTACCTTAACACCAAGCCCAAGAAGGCTTCCTTGGTCCTGCCTGTGCAACCAAGGCAGGTTCATGATCTGGGTAAATGGAAAGGGAGTCCCTTGCACTTGGGCTACCTTGCTCCCATCTTCGCGGGGTCGCCACAGTATACTGGTATCTCTAGGCCTGATATCGACTCCAATCAGTAAGCGTTACGGCCTGCTATCAGCGCCAAGCATTAGCCTCTGCTTGTGGAGGAGAAGCTTCTCCCAAAGGTTGCTATCACCTTGGTGATGTGTTCCCTCCGCAAGTTAGTTGTGACGGTTGTAGTTGAGGCGGTTGCTATTTCCCTCAGCAACTCCGGATGGTGGCGATACTGAAAATACTTGGAATGGTGGCGGCATCGACAATAGTTGGGATGGCATCGATATCGACAATACTTAGGATGACGGCGCTGAGACAAAGTACCCCCGCAACTTGACCGCTGCAAATGCTGCCTCTGTAACTTAGTTGCTCCGATTTTTCTTTCCCTCAGCAACTTCAACTGGCGACGACACCGACAATACTTGGAATGGCGGCAGTACCGATAATACTGGGGATGGCGGCGTTGAGACAAAGTACCTCCGCAACTTGCCCGCTGGAAGTGTTGCTTCTGCAACCTCACTTAGACACTTTTCTTCGTGGAGTCTGTTCGAACCCTTGGCGAGTCAGACCTATTCCGCCCCATTGTTAACCCACTTCCCTTGGATTTTAACCCATACTCCTTAAGTCATTCTTGGTCGCCTAAAAAGGGTGACCTCAACGCTTAGGCCCATACTTAATTTAGATCTTAATTTCTGACCCTCTACACCAACTTCCAACTCTATGTTGATAAGAACAGAAAAAAAAAAAAAACAAAAAAGGCAAAATTCAAATGCTTCACAATAAATAACCACCGTCTAATAATACTAATAAGTTAATTTTTATGATTATTGTTTTACTTTTTTATTATTATTAGCTTAAACTTGTTTGGCTAATTAATTGTCACATATTTTTTTTATTGTGCAAAAAAGAGATACGGTTATTTTGCATATTTAAAGAGGTAATATATATATATATATATATATAACAATGTGCCTGAGAAAGTTTTATTTTTTTGTCAATAAAAATAATAATTATAATTATAATTATAGAACTTGGTTGTAGCAAAAGTAGTCATGGAGAGAGTATTTAGGTTCTAGGATGAGATTTCAAGTTCGAGTCTATAGAGAGACATTAATATGCATTGCAATCTAACTATTAACATACTAATGATATCTTTGTCAAAAAAAAAAAAAAAAAAAAAAAAAAACCCAAAATTTTCCCCCCCACTCATAACAAAATAAACCATAAACTCTTAATTTTGTCAATTTAAATCATAATCTTTTTATAAGTTTATTTTGTTAAAATGTTCAAACTTTGAGTTTTTTTTTTTTTTTTTTCTGTTTCTGGTAATTGTCTCAAAAAATTATAATAACGTATAATTTAAAACTACTACTAAATTACCATTACTCAACTTTTTATATTGACTTATAAGTGCCATCATACCCTGAGGTACCATCTTTGGCTTTTTATTTTTATTTTTTGAAATTAGTGATGCAGCTGTGGGGTAAGTCTGGGCTGGTTCTTCTTAATTGCAAAACCAACTTAGAAGGACCAATGTCATAAATAAGGTTAATTGCTACACCAACAAATTAGTGTTATAAATAAGGTTTGATGACCCATCAAAGTCAAATTTCTCACCATCATGCTCTAATTAGTAGGACCCATGTCATGAATAAGGTTTGATTACCATCAAAGTAAAATTTCTCACCACCATGCTCTAATCAGAAGGACCCATGTCATGAATAAGGTTCGATGAATATCAAAGTCAAATTTCTCACCACCACCATGCTCTAATTAGTCACCCACAAACATGTACATCAGACATGTATTATACAACCAATTGTTGTAGATATATGACCCCTAGTCCACAAGATGGAATAACCTCACCAATCCCATATTTTTGTAGGCCTAGTAGCCACACAACACAAATGACTGACTCCAAGAACTATTTGGACAAAATAGCTTTTCCTAAATTTAAGTATTAAAATTAAAATATAATTTTATATGTAATCAATGTGTTAGTTTAATATGAGCCCACTTTTATTATCTTATGACATAATATGATATCCAATATTTGATATTGATTGATATTTTTAATTTTAATTTTTTTTTTAAGTGCTTGTGTATTTGCTAGATGTGGAGAAAAAAATATGAGTCTAAATTCAAATCCATTAACGGTGTCCAAAAAAGAGGGGAAACCCCAAAATAACTCCTTAAAGCCCATAGAAGACAATTGACAACAGATTGGTATAAATCCAGGTGCGTGAAGGGCAATCAAACATAAAGATATTCTTCTAAAAGAAAGATCTGTAAAACAAAGGATTGTTGTATTGAACTTCAATCCAACAGTTGGAGACACAAGTCTGTAAAAACAGAGGCATAGGTTGGGTCTAATAGAAAGTAAGGTTATCCGATCAACTTAATCTTACAGATAAAATGTTGGCAAGTTGGCCACTAATGTCTGACATGATCCTAGCCATCAATATGAAAAAGATCTAACGATCAAGGATTAAAGCAACTTAGCAACTTGCCCGGCCAAAGCCAGATGAATGTCGAATCCTTCGATCAAAAGATAATCGGATGAATGAGATTTAAACCAAACAACTTTAAAAGGACAAGCAGGTAAAGCACAAAGGCAGATAAGAGGAAAACCAAGAATTCTCTTTTAAAAACAATTTATATATTTTTTATGGCCAATTAGTAGGGGCGATCACTGACATTTGGTTTCTCTTTGTAGAGTAAAAAAGAGAGACATGTCATATTGTTTTTCCTATGGTATAACACTTTGTATTTTTGGGTTTAAAATTGAAGTGAGGTGGAATTGAAAGTTGTCAAGGTTTGGTGGATATGTATGGGTGCTCTCATGCTTTGTTGTAAACTAGGGGTTGTTAAGAATTGGTGAGCATAAAGTTGTTGCTATTTTTGTTAGAACAGATGCAATTTCGAGGATGAAATTTCTTAAGGTGGGAAGATTGTAATGACTTAGATTTTGATTCACATTGGATTGATGTAAAGTGGTGCCCGTCACCTTAAAACTTGTACGGTTGTCGGACTCTTGATATTGATGGGTTGGCAAGTGAACTTTAAATATTATAATTGAGGACCCTTGGGTGATGTTTGGAACCTTGATTGAAGCCTCGACAAGGTATTTAGGTAAGATTAGATAAAGAGCCCCAAGTTTGAGTTTGAGTTTGAGTTTTTGACCAGCCATCACTCTTTTGCCCTTTTCTCCTTCCATACTTTGAATTTGAATGTGAGGCTAGAACCATTGGAAAGCTTGTTTTCGGGGCTTCAATTTGGACACAAGAACGATCTAAAACGGAATTCGAACGAGAGAGTTACACCTGTTTGAATTTTGAATTTCTGTGCTGAAAGTATTCTCGCTCGAGCGAGATCTTCTTCGCTCGAGCGACCAAGTCGCTAACAAACAGTATAAGGTGATATTTTGGCCCAAAAACTTCATTTTTTTCATCCTCTCTTCTTCTCCCCTCCTCCATGTCCGAAAACCTAGCCCCCAATGCTTTGATTTCATCCATTCTTACCAA